ACCTAAAACGCTCATGTAGCGTGGAGGGGAAGACTGCCTCTTGGTTTTTCCCCTAAATTGGGGAGACGTTGGGAGTCTGCCGAAATTCAGAATAATTACATGGGACTTTTTTTGGACATTAATTTGAACACTAAATAAATTTCAAATTTGAATAATCACGCAAAATATTTAAAGCAACTTGATCAAGAAAAATTGAACTTGATTAATCACAAAATCTTTAATCAAACTCAACCAAGAAGAACTTGATTTGAACTTGAACTTGATTGAGCGCAACGGACTCAAGTGAATATGAACTTGCAATATGAACAAAAAGAGGACTCTTAAACTCAAACTTAAATGGGCATGGTGAATTTGAACTCGAACTTGATTCAACACAAACGACTCGTGGACATTGGAATAGGAAATAAACCACATCGAGTGGAACTTGAATCACATACAAGGGAACCCGAAATGAATACTTGTGGAATCAAACTCGAAATAGTAATGCATGAAGCTCAAATAAATTTGAACTTGAAATGGAATATACACAAGTAACATAATGTAATGCATAAGATGGAGTCATAGCTTCTAAGATAACAAATCTTAAGTAAATGCAAGGGAATTTATGGAAAGCATTCAGATGAATGGCAATGGGCAAGAAGAGTTTACAAATGAAGGCCAAGAACTTATAATGAACTTGGGCATTCACGTGTGTATAAGTGGAGATATGCAATAAATGTAATAACTTCTCCACTACATCAATGTATAAGCACCACAAAGAAGGAATGTTTGAAGAGAAAATACTAAGTTCAAGTTAAAGTATGACCCTCCTACAACCAATACAAGTCATCAAACCCTTACAAGTGAGGGGGACTGGTATACAATGAGCACAATGACTTAATGTATATGATAAGACAAAAGATTACAATGTATATAATACATAACCTATGAGCAAAGACATCAGACTGTTTGAGTGTAGATACTTGCAAGAAATGGCAGAAAATCCAAAGCATACATGAAAAAATCCCCCATGACAAATGCCAGAATATGGTACACTAAGTACACTATAGGCGTGGTGGGTCCTCTATAAATGTAACAAATCTCCTTACAACCAACACTGGTTGTCTTAGGGACGCATAAGATAGCCCTACAAACACTAAAACATGTGCAAACAAGTGGAGAGAATCATCAGGCAATATACATAAAGAGATCGATAATGAAGGTAGCAATTCGTCAGTCGGTATGTATGGAAGGATCAATGATAAATATGATAATCTATGCAGTCAACATTGGAATATCCCTACGGTTAACATCAACTAGCTAGCAAAGGGAAATGACAATCCCTTATAAGCAACTATGGGATACATATGAGTACGCATGAATGGCAGTGATATGCATCCAAATGAATATCATGCAACCCATATAAAAATGAGAATAATTGATGCATATATTAATCATACAAACAAATGTATTGCCCTCTTATTATTTTTAAAGACAACAAAAGACTTGTCTTCAAACGTGGATTT